AATATATAAATAATAGAATTTACACACACACACACACATATATATAATTCATGAAAAAAAATTTTTTTTTGCATTACACTAATGAAAATTGGATTTTTGTTTGCTGATATGAATGAATATAATATGTAGACATTATATTCACTGAAAAAGCTAATTAGCAAATTCCCCAATTCCCTTTACTGTAAGGTAAAAAAAAAACAAAAAAAACAAATTTTCATTACCATAATGCAAAAATATATAGATGATACATATATTAAAATTAAGCTTTTTTTTAGGAGTAGTTAGATATTTTTTTGACACTATATTTAATGGAAAAAGCAAATTACCCAGTTCCTTTTAGTGTAATACAAAATAATCATAATAATAATAATAATAATCATAAAAGCAAATAATCAAATAAATAAAAATAAAAAATAAATAAAAATAAATAATATTTCCATAATGCAAAAAGAATGGTAATATATATCCAGTTTACACTGTCTACTATTTACCATGGCAGAATTTGTTTTGTTGCCCTTAATTTATGCTGATTTAAAGGGGTCATATGATGCTGCTAAAAAGAACATTATTTTGTGTATTTGGTGTAATGAAATGTGTTTATGCGGTTTAAGGTTAAAAAAACACATTATTTTCCACATACTGTACATTATTGTTTCTCCTCTATGCCCCGCCTTTCTGAAACGCGTCGATTTTTACAAAACTAATCGGTCTGAAAAGCGAGGTGTGCTCTGAAGGTGTGGCTGACTCTTAACTTTTATAAAGAATATCTCTTTGGATTTGAGACTTTAGTCTTTGCAACTTTACAGATCTTCTTTCTGCACCGAGAGCTTGTAACACTCCAAAGAGAAAGGAACAATTGAAATTGCATCGTATGAAAAAAATCATTGTGTCCAGACAGGATGAATCTGATTGTTAGTAGGGCTGTGCGATTTGGGGGAAAATATCAAATTGCGATTTTTTTGACAGATATTGCGATTGCAAAAAATCATTGTGTCCAGACAGGATGAATCTCATTGTTAGTATTAAATACATTAATGAGAATTTGGAGGGGAAGATGTGCTTTTTTGTAAAGGAAAGTAATAACACAGCACAAATAATCTTAGTCCCATTTTTTGGGGGAAAATATGACCTGGAAATTGTAACTGTGATTTAGAGGAAGTCCCTGAGTAAAGGCACAGCGACTGTTCAGGAAAAGAGTTATGGGTTTATTGCTCGATGAGACGACAAAAGCTCTTATTCTTGATGTGCAGTTTGTTGGATCAATGTTCATTACAGGAGAGAGTGTGCAGCGTGAAGGGTCATGACTGAATTAAGCTCTTTACTTAAGATATCACAAAGACATGTGTTTGATAAAATATTGTCAAGCACTCCACTAGTCAGTTTGCATATATTACCTTTAACAGATTGTGTAATGAAATCTAAAGATGAATGCATTACATAAGGCCTCTCCTTTTTCTGCTGTTGTGTTGAGTGATATAACTCTTATGATGTTCGGTGGTGTTGTCATATGCTGAATGTAGGAGTGTTTTCACGCTTATGTAATATTGAAAACGGTTTTGTAGTCAGCATGGGCGGATAACATCCCACCTGCTGTTTCCAGCTAAACATCACAGGGAAATGCAAAGTCTTCACAGTTAGTAATGTGTTTTAATGTTTATGAGGAGTTCTGTTGCTCGTAATTGATGATGTCCAAATCAGGGCTCTACGCTTACTTTTCTTTTTAGGAGCGCTTGTGCTCCTAATTTAAAAAATTTAGGAGCACGGTCAAAAATTTAGGAGCACCTTCTAATCAGTAATAAAAAAATTCTGATAAAAAATTAACCTTCCCATTACGAGGTGATATTTGACTCCTTAAAGTGATTTACAGGGAATTTTGTTTTTACCTTTGTAATGTGCGATTAGGAAATCGCAACGTCTCAAATCGCGATTTCGATTCGATTTCGATTAATCGCACAGCCCTAATTGTTAGTATTAAATACATTAATGAGAATTTGGAGGGGAAGATGTGCTTTTTTGTAAAGGAAAGTAATAACACAGCACAAATAATCTTAGTCCCATTTTTTTGGGGAAAATATGACCTGGAAATTGTAACTGTGATTTAGAGGAAGTCCCTGAGTAAAGGCACAGCGACTGTTCAGGAAAAGAGTTATGGGTTTATTGCTCGATGAGACGACAAAAGCTCTTATTCTTGATGTGCAGTTTGTTGGATCAATGTTCATTACAGGAGAGAGTGTGCAGCGTGAAGGGTCATGACTGAATTAAGCTCTTTACTTAAGATATCACAAAGACATGTGTTTGATAAAATATTGTCAAGCACTCCACTAGTCAGTTTGCATATATTACCTTTAACAGATTGTGTAATGAAATCTAAAGATGAATGCATTACATAAGGCCTCTCCTTTTTCTGCTGTTGTGTTGAGTGATATAACTCTTATGATGTTCGGTGGTGTTGTCATATGCTGAATGTAGGAGTGTTTTCACGCTTATGTAATATTGAAAACGGTTTTGTAGTCAGCATGGGCGGATAACATCCCACCTGCTGTTTCCAGCTAAACATCACAGGGAAATGCAAAGTCTTCACAGTTAGTAATGTGTTTTAATGTTTATGAGGAGTTCTGTTGCTCGTAATTGATGATGTCCAAATCAGGGCTCTACGCTTACTTTTCTTTTTAGGAGCGCTTGTGCTCCTAATTTAAAAAATTTAGGAGCACGGTCAAAAATTTAGGAGCACCTTCTAATCAGTAATAAAAAAATTCTGATAAAAAATTAACCTTCCCATTACGAGGTGATATTTGACTCCTTAAAGTGATTTACAGGGAATTTTGTTTTTACCTTTTACAGAGTTGGCACAGAAGAACACACAAGTCACTTGTAGGTGTATTTTCAGACGTTTAATGAGGCTCAGAGGTCGCATGAGTGCAATTAAATTCATAAATTCATGTTGAGGTTAATGTTTTAAATATAAAATTTTGAATATAGAAATATTAAATGATTTAAATAACAGAAAAGAAGTAGATTAACAAAAAACCACTGGGTGGATTTTTATCATTTTAGGGTGGTTGTGTACACACACTGCCAACACACATTTCAGTTCAAACAACTTGTAAAAGTGCATGTAGCATTATATGACCCCTTTAAGTTTGCATTCAAAAGTCAGAAATCTCAATATGAACTCAAACATTTCTCATCAAATTCTCAAATGTAGCTCTTTACCCTTACTGTATGACAACTATTGACTGATTGATAGAAACATCTGAGACGACGTTAACTTAAATGAAGCATCTCAGGTAGGGATGCACCGATACCACTTTTTTCAGTACTCGCCCGATACCGATACTTTTATTTTTGGTACTTGCCGATACAGAGTACCAATACCAATATTTTTATTGCATTTGTAAATTTTTAAAATATTAGGTACAGAAACCAAAAGAGTATGTATAATGTTAGTTGGTTAACTTTATTTATCACTTCGTAGACATCCTTAATCTCTAATAGCTCCATTCTACTGTCTGTTGTTCTGTTGTCCGTGTTTCATTGTCTGAATATGGCGCTTATCACATGCTGTGTGGTATCGGCGTTTGGTATCGGGGCATTTTAACGAGTACGAGTACGAGTACAGGAGCTCAGTATCGGGCCCGATACCGATACCAGTATCGGTATCGGTGCATCCCTAATCTCAGGAGACTTAATGGAGCTCTAAATTATGAAGCAGCAACATCTGAGCAATAACATGTCTGTAAAACCCATTCAAAAGCCTTCCTTTCTTCGTTTCCTTCCACAGTCAGCTGGATGTTTTCCTCTCGGCTGTGGCGAATAAACGGGGCCTGGGAGTCATTGATTACGATGTGTTGTTTGTGGGCAGCAGATCCAGCTCTGAATTATTTATATTGGCAGTGATATATGATTTTGAGCTATTATTAAGCGCTAGTTTCCTGGGTTCTGCGATCCAGCATCCTCTTCATTGATCTGGCCTGGGTATTGATAAATGACATTGGTCTATTTTAACTGCACTCAGTGAAACACCATACGATAGAGCTGCGTACCTCTCTATAATTCAATCTTAGATGGAGCTGAATGGCAAAGATTGCTTCCGGTTTGTCCCTGTTATTCAGAGATGGAATGGAAAGAACTCAGTGGCTTAGAATAGATCGGGTCTTTCAGCACAGATGCACAATCGCCGCTCTGCCTGCATCGGGTCATCATATTTCTGTTGACTATGCAGATATAAAGAAGCTGTATCAGACTAGAGGATCTATTTTTGTGTGCATCTGGGGACACATTTATCCAGCCTCACCTGCAAACTGGCACAAGCATGATGAAAACAGGGCAGAGAACTACAGATTATCTTTTTTTTGTTTGTTACTTTTTAAAATTTTCTCATATCATTCTGTCATTTTGTCTGTCAATTTGTCTATCAACCTTTCTTTCTATCTATTGTTTTGTCTGTCTACCATCCATCCATCTATGCATTATTATATCTATCTATTGTTTTATCTTAACATCCATCCATCCGTCCATCAGTTTGTCTTGTGTTATGTCTATCTATCTATCTATCTATCTATCTATCTATCTATCTATCTGTCTGTCTGTCTATGGTTTTGTCCATCCATCCATCCATCCATCCATCCATCCATTATTATATCTATCTATCGTTTTGTCTAACATCCATTAGGGCTGGGCGGTATATCGAGTTTGTACGATATATCGATATTTTCTTTATAAACGATACGATATGAGGCAGTACCGTTTATATCGATATACAGTAGTTTGATACGAGTGCATCTGAAAATATAGAGGAGGACACAGACTGAGCTGCTGCGGAGAAAGTGCATAATACGATTAGTTCTAAACATGTGACAAGCTTTATATTAAGGCCTTTAAAAACTGTTAAGACACAGTATAGTTTATAGTTTCGCATAGTTTTAGCGGCTCGGCCCGTCATATGCTCTGACAGAAAGGCTGCGTGTGCCGCTGACAGAGACACTAGGCTACTCGCGCCGTTTAATGTGTTTGAGATGTGCTGTCTTCCTGGATGCATAACTTACATTTCACAGGTATATTCTCCATCTGTAAATGTTAGAAAGTCATGGAAATATTTACATTTTTCTGTCAGAAGTTCATGAGTTCATCTATCTATCTATCTATCTATCTATCTATCTATCTACCTACCTACCTACCTACCTATCTATTGTTCTATTTATCCATTCTCACAATAACAAATGATACACAACTTAAAGGGTTAGTTCACCCAAAAATGAAAATTAGCCCATAAATGACTCACCCTTAAGCCATCCTAGGTGTATATGGCTTTCTTTTTTCAGACGAATCCAGTTGGAGTTATATTAAAAGTTGTCTTTGATCTTTCAAGCTGTTTCATGGCACTCAGCGGGTGTTGCATGCATCAGTCCAAAAGCACTTAAT